TCTTCTACAGTAAAAGATATGTGCATCGGTGAAAGTTTAATTCGTAGAGGAGATGATGACGCCCCCTTTAAAGTTGGTGATTTATTCGAGACTAAGGACCAGTTGGTTAATGCTATTCGTGAATACTCTTTCGAAAAGAATTTCAAGTTCAAGCAAGTTAAAAGCAATCACACAAGTTATGATGCAATATGTTTTATGAACACACAAAGAACAGGTCTGACCGAGGGAAATGAAGCTGATTACTCATGTCCTTGGAAGTTATATGCATTTGCAGGAAAGAAACACAATTTTCAATTTAGGATCAGTGAATATTGCGGTGTTCACACATGTGTCAATCCAATATTAGAGCAAGATCACAGTGGTGCATCTGCCTCTTACATAGCGCGGTTGATTATGCCAAAATTAAGGAAGAAGCTTGATCTAACGCCCGATAATATAATTGAGAAAGTGCTTGATACCAAGTTCATTAAAATCTCGTATATTAAAGCATGGAATGCAAGAAGAATTGCGATGACAAAAATATTTGGTGATTGGGACAAGTCTTACGCGACACTAGCTCAATATCTTGATGCGATCAAAAGAAGTAATCCTGGATCTGAATACAAACTCATAACCAAAGAGATCGATCCGGGAGTTCATCAATTCACCTCTGTTTTTTGGGTATTTGGGCCTTCGATTGAGGGGTTTAAATTTTGTCGGCCTATTCTTAGCATTGATGGTACACACTTATACGGTAAATACAAGGGTGTACTGCTTGTTGCTACAGGAGTTGATGTAGATGGTGGCTTATTTCCTTTGGCCTTCGCCGTTGTGGAGGTCGAGAACAGTAAAAATTGAGAGTGATTTTTTTCTTGCATTCAATTATATATTTTTAATGTGTTGCCTCCTAGAAAAATTACTTTCATATCTGATAGGATGAAAGGTATTCCAAAAGCATTGTGGAGGAGATTTGGCTCTCATCATCATCATCGCTATTGCTTACGACACATTAGAGCTAACTTCAAAAAGAGCTTTAGTCAGATTCATTTACAAAACCTTCTGTGGCAAGCGGGTTGTACGCCAGAAACATATGTGTATGATCGGATACGGGATCAAATCAAGGCAACATCTCAAGCTGCACATGATTGGATTGAGAGAAGTCTGGGCAGCGATTACGTCGACCGGTGGGCACTCAGTAAAGATGGAGGGAATCGGTTCTGCATGATGACAACCAATTGTTCTGAAAGCTTCAACGGGATACTTAAGGGGGCTCGGGCAATGCCCATACAGGCGTTAGTTGTGAGGAAATTTTATAGGCTCAATTACTATTTTGTCAAGCGGCGAGAGGATGGAGCAATGTGGGCCTCGTTCTTGACACCAAAAAATGAGGCGATTTTAGGAGCTCGAGTTAAGCAGGCAAGAGGCACGAATATTGTTAGATTTGCTGTAGATGAATGGGAGGTTACAGACAAACATGGTCACAATTACACCGTTAATTTGGGAGGTGCACATTGCACATGCACCTGTAACATACCAGAATTGCAAAAATTACCTTGTCCACATGTCATAGCGGTTACGTCCAAGCAATCGGGGGGTGCAAATATTTCGTATTACACATACGCTTCTGAGTGGTATCAATCAAGTAACTATAAAGAGGCATATAAGCAGTGTTTCCACCCTGTACATGATAGTCGTTATTGGCCACACTATAACGGGCCACATGTGGTGCTGTAGGGTGAAAATTTGATTCTTCCGAAGAAAGGAGTTTCGTTTGTATTTATAAGAAAGCTTATTACAAACTAACAAATCAAATGTTTACAACAGAAGCAGAGGGAAGGCCCTCTTTGTTTTGTGTGGGGACTTTAGGCGGCTATAGGATGCTTCGCTCGATGCTCGGGTCGAGTCTGCTTCCCTTGGACCGTTTGAATGAGGTTGCTGGAGAGCTTCAGTTCGCAGTAGAAGCTCGGGGTAATGGAGTTCGGGTCTGCTTAGTTCTTCGGCGATCGGAGCTCGGAACTAGGCAGCGGTGCTGTAATGCAAGGATTTGCTAACAGCTTGGTCTCAACTCTTTTTCCTCCAAGTTTTGCGACCTCTCTTCCATCGTGCTGGAAGGGGCTTTTAAATGAAAGAAGGACAGCTCGACTTCTCCTTGAATTGTGGGATGTGACCACATCCTCTTCAGAGACGTCTCGCCGTTCCTCGATACCGTGAATGGTCATTTCAGGGATTGTGCTCTATGTCCTGTCACCTACGATGGGAAGGCCCATCTTGTGTGTGAGGCAACGAACGACTGCTATCCGAGTGGATTTGACCAGTATTAATGAACCGCATTTATGAGTTCGCAGATCGATGAAGTGTCTGTCCGATCACTTGTACTGTGCGTGACCGCCCGGCGTGCTTTGAGCACGGTGCTTTCTCCTTTCCGGTCAGGAGAGGCGGTGAAGTAGGTGTACAGTACTCGAGTGGGTCTAGCCAGCTTGCCGAGTGCCGGCGGATCCAGCTCTTGGCTCAGACATCCGAGGTGAGTCGCATTTATGAATGCTCAGGTTGACTCGACACCTGTCCAGGCTTTCGTGCTGCGCGTACTGCGAGCGGCCGTTTGACGGTCCTGGGGTACTGTGCTCTCTCTCCCTTCGGGTCGAGAGAGATGGGAAGGTCCATCTCAGCACGTGGGGTAGTGGATACCCAGCTGTACTGACGGTCTTGGGGTTTGCTGGCGGATTCGACTCTGGACTCGGGCAGGCGAGTTGAGTGAAAGGCGAACTTCCGCCATCCTGATCGATCTTGACTCGTGCTGGCGAGCCTACCGTAAGGCGAACCTAGAATCGAACGTATCTGGCGTCTATGCGATTTAGGCCTGTGCCAGAGAACCGAGCGTGCGAGCTCTTCTCGCAGGCGAATTTCCTGTAATCCTATAGAGGTATTTTTTACCGTCTACAAGACCCCCTTCAAAGTTTTCAGACCTAAACCGGCTCGCGTGTGGTCTGGAATACTTTGAATGAAGAAATTTTCGGCGAAGTAAGCGCACTTGATTTCTTTTAGGATTTTTAGCAAATCCTCAGCTATCAACGGGTTTGATGTGCCTTTACCGATCACCGTTTGAATCGGGCTAGCCATACTATTCCCCTCAGTATGATGAGTTGTCGAACAGTCTCTCTTAGGCTTAATGCTAAGATTTCTGCTCTAACCCTTAGCCGTCTGAGGCGTGGGTTTTAACCGTTTAAGCGAGGTCATTCCATTGGCTTTGTTTATGATTTTACCTTTAGTGGCGAGCGAGTTGCCCAGGCGAAATTAGTCTTTGGGAGCCCAATTTCGCGCAGCTCGCGGGGCCATGCCAAGTATTTGCAGGCGAAACCCGCCCTTTTTGAGGTGGGCCCAGATCTGACGGGAGATGAGTCACGTGTCAGCTGATAGGGCCTTGTGTTTCCCAGCTAAGGCGGCGCGGTCCCATTGAGTCGCGGCGATCGTGGTTTGACAACGCGATTTCGTGTGTTTCGCCCCATGACGCATCGTGGCCGTGGTTTTCGGGTTCAACCGTCGGATGTAGTCGCCAATCTCGGTCCTTTCGATATACTGCGGGTGATCTGAGCCGTCGAATTTGATCGTGGCCGCGTCTTCTGTCCGTTAGGGTTTCTTATAATATATCCGTATTCGTCTCTCTCCAGCAGAATCCTTACTGCTTCAAGAGAAATCCGC